GAGAGAGGGAGGGGGGGGGGGCTACCAGAGAAAGAGAGAGAGAGAGAGAGAGAGAGAGAAAGATAAACACATGCAAATGTAGACAGAACGTGCGAGGTTTTAGTTTCACAACATACACGTAATGTCCATGGCATGCGAGACCAGTCGCGATTACCCTTCTACCTCACTGCTCAGGTAATCATTTCAGCCACTATCCTCAGTATTTCTACCCTTCGTTCCTAATCCTTCTTCGCCACTTTCCCTATCCTTGCAGTGTACTCATCATCTATCCTCAGGATCTCCCGCAGTCGCTCTCTGTGTTGTCCTTGTCATCGTCGATTTCCAACATGCCTTCAATCTGGAGCCACTTTCATCATATCGTATGATTCTGTTCGTTGATTTATTTCGTCACCCTTGTTTCCAGATATGTTCATTTCGTGTTCACGTTGTCTGATATGATTTCAAGTTTTAGAGATTGGTGGTAGCATATTTGAAAAGATTTCAGACATTCCAACTCTTTCGTTTGATCTTCCTTACTTGCTATAATGATCATCATTACATCGTCCACAAAACTCATAGCGTGGATAAGTTTCTCATCAATTCCAGTTTGCGCACACCATCTGTACTCATCGAACGCGCATACCATGTTGGCAATGGGTGGGCTAGAGCCCTTCCTCATTGGTATCCCCATTACTTGGCATAATAATGTTCCTTGTACTTTGAAGTTTGAAGTATGCGTTTTTAATGTCATAGTACAACAGATCCATTAGGCACTCAATTTTTAATGTTCTCCATCGTAGGTTCCGTTTGCTTTTTCAAAGTTCATGTACTTTCCTCTCATCTTGTAACAGAAGTGGGTTCTCCGTTTTCCTTTCGTCGTTTTCATCGTCCATTGCATGACGTTTAAGATATGTGTGTGATCGAGATTCGAAAACATATCTTTGACATCGTATGTGGAACAGATTATCATAGTCATATCCCCGTATGTTTCTTTTGCTACTTGATTGCATTTTTTCAGTCTAGGTAGTAGTTGGTTCGTTCCTTTTAGTGAGAAACCAACTTTCAATGCTTGACACATGAAGTTGATAGCTCTTGATAGTACCTTCGATGCTTTCCGAGATGACTACTTATATGTCGACACAATTGGTCGGCGTCTGGTGACGTCCTTGTTTTTTGGAATTGTATACGCATTTTCGTATGATCCCTGTTCATCCCATTTGCGATTTTCTTCACCCACATCCATGATACGTATTTTTTGTCAATTGAGTGATCTCAGATTCCGTTTGTTGTATAATTTCGTAGTGATTCGATTCCGGAAAGAATTTTCGGGTCTTCTCATACCAGATTTTACGACATTCCACAAAAGTTTCTCCAGGATTTATGTCCAATGGTGATAGGATACATTGTGTCAATCTTCTTTTTACTTCCCGTTGTCGGGCGCATCGGTCCGGCACCGCACGGGGGCAGCGCGGGACCCTCCCGGCCGCGTAACGCAGGAGTTGGTTTTTAGAACCCTTCGTCGCAATGTACATGGAGCTTCCACAAGCCGCTCCGGCCGTGTGTGTCAGCCATACCTCTCGCGAGCCCCTACGACAGGATAGGGCCTACGCGAGGCACGACTTACCTACACCTTACAGGAGCTGTCACCTCCCTTCGGTGGGCGTACCCCCGCCGAGCTACCAGTCCACAGTATGAAAGCTAATCAGTTGCAATCGCAGAGGTGGACCAGCCGAGGGCGTTTCTCGTTCGCTGTAGCATANTACCAGTCCACAGTATGAAAGCTAATCAGTTGCAATCGCAGAGGTGGACCAGCCGAGGGCGTTTCTCGTTCGCTGTAGCATAGGGGGTACGCGCGGTAATACGCCTCTATCGGACCTGCACGCGAACCGACATCTTGGGGGGGCTGAGGTCCCAAGCGCGACTCATCGTCGGTCGACCAGGACGCCCACACACCACGCGCACTCCACTTTACGAACACACATACACACAAAACAACATATATACGAAACGACACAATACCAACAATGCGACAACGCTCCTAGCCCCTCGGTAGCTAACCCATAACTTTCTAGTGCGGAAATTGGATAGGCGTCGCGCGCTGAACTCAGTATAAAACCGCGCGGACGCAGGGCATACTCATATCGACTTGCAATGCAGGCGTACACAAGCAGTCGCAACGATGGCGTACTATGTAGTGCCCATAATCAAGCGGTCCCTCGTGGATCCGAATACCGCTTATGACACTCAAGTGTCAGACTTGAAGTGCCGTGAGGGCCTAACCCTTCACGACATTGCACGGCTGAAGGAAATAGTCGTGCAGCCGCCGCTGCACCTTAGGCTCTCGACCTGAGTGTCTCGGTAGGCAAATCAAATAGGCTCTGCGCGAGGGAAAACCCCTCCCCTGCGGAGCCTAGGGCTTGGGATGTCCTGGACAAGGACCTCGAATCCCGGCCCAGGACCAAACGTCCGACTAAGAAAATCGTCAAAAAGCAAGAGACAATAATAAAAGGAGAGACCTCCCCTAAGCCCTTCAGTCTCAGCTTCTGAGCGGACTCTAATGTGGGGGCTCTCCAACCCATGCAGACATTCATCCCAAGTATACCCATGTATGCATATATAAGGGTTAAATATGTGACGATCACTTCTCATTGTTTCGCTGGGGTCTCTCACAATAATACGTATACGTGTGATCGTAGGCAACCAAATCCAGAATCTGGTTCACAGCACATACCTGCCATCACATCAACAAACCAAATCAACAGCCCACACACTACACGGAGTCAACCCCAACCACCTTCGACAYTCATACCCCTCGCTTTAGCCATGCAAGCCCCAAACCTCCTGTCCAACCAACCTTAATTAAATACTCAGYACCTTTGTTAAATGGCCATTCAATAAAAGTCCGGGTGAAACCTTAATAAAACAACGAAATCACCGGGGCTAAAGCCTTTTAGGTTGAGTGTAGAGGGAGAGTTGAAATTGAGTCGTAGACCGACGAATCGGCAACCGACCTGTTATCAGTGATAACAGTAAGTGATCATCAAGGGATCAAGCTGGATCTAGCCCTGAACTTGGATCAAATGATCAAAAGGACCTGTAACACACGGCAGACCAGTTCCCAAGCTAAGATCATAAGTGTATGGAGAATACAACTCCATAATACATCCTCACTCAAAACTCCTTTATTAGCTAAACCTAAGTCTACTTTTAAGTCAAAATATAGACCAACTGCAAAATCTCCCCTATTCTGGATGGATCGCCTGAATCATCTGTCAAAATATAATCTATCTCCTCTAAACTAAGAAAATTTTGGCAGCGCTTCCCGTAGGAAAAGTGTCTTTTCATAATTTATATAAGCTAGATATGGGAGCAGAAATAATCTCTAACTCCTTTAAAGTCAAATTCTATCTAACTCTTTGAATTAGTAGAAATTTGGGCAGCACTTCCTTTAGAAAGGGAGACTTCCCAGATTTATA